TGAATTCTGTCATTTTTTTATCAGTCCGTTTGTCTAGAATTAGCTGCAGATCTTGCTGTAGTCCGAAATATCTGACGTTTTCCAGGCTTTTTTACGATTTTGATATTTGACGTGCCTGGAAAACGTCAGAACCGGCGCCATTACGAAAACTGGAAATTCGCCGCCTCCAACTGGAGGCGGCGTTCTCGGCTCGATTTTAAATACTCGACAGTCAAAGATGTTGTTTAACTCATAACTAAGTAATCAAACGATGATTCTAGTACTCACTTATATCACTTAAAATAAAATACCACTCCAATTTTTTATAATAGAAGCACACAAATATAGTCAACCGTATTTTCGCTGTTATTTGAGTTAACGAGTCACGTGACTCAAATCTCGCCGGAAGTCGAGGGAATTCTTCAAAGTGACAGAGGAATGGCAGAAGAGCGCGAGATCTGAGGTGCAATAAAAGAAAGCCACACCATGGAAGATACAAAGTGTGAATGTTGCGGGGAGGAGTTTTCGAGAAAAGCGAAAGGGTTTCAGCGAACCTCTATTCACACAAAAACGAAAAAGGGTGTGAGGTATGTTAATACAAGACAACAACATTGAATCATCTGCACGATATTATGAAATGGGGAAAAAACATAATATAGATGCTTAGAGATTTTAAATAAAGAAATGCACACTAACTGATAAAATTTTAAAACGTCAAGCAAGTGATAAAATCAAGAATGAGATTGTTTACAATTGAGATAATGAATTATTAGGTACAGAATGCATTAAATATATATTGGATGTAGTGCAGTCTCTTGATTTTAGTTTATTATTTTTATATAGCTTTATTCAGCTATTCAAAATACCTTGACCTCCTTTATAATTTCATCCAAGACTGAGTGATGATTTTTTCATGCATTTATTTTTAAAAGAGCTCAAATTTGAAAGAAAAAAAAAAAACTTCCAATGCACTGTGACTTTTAGAACATACGAAAAGAAATGCATGTTTACCAAAAACCCAAAACAAGGTATTTTGCTAAATCAAACAATATAGCTAATTGAAGCTATAAAGCAAAATTTATTAAAAAGTAATATAATGATCATCAAGTTTTAAGATAGTTCTTGAGTGTTATTATATTTTTATGGGAAACAAAGGATGCAGATTCAGAATTACAAAAGATTTGACATTCAGGAGAGTACATTATCCTCGAAAAAGGCTCATTTCAAAATTAATATTCATTTAGTTACTGACCCTATATGTGTGTCAATTTATATCTATGAAAAGGTTCCTCCTATCTCTACATACAACATGTATTGACTAGAAATAAAATGTTAGATGTATAAGAAATGGATTAATTCATGTGTGTATATAGTCTAAATTCATTGATTGGAACAAATTAATTTTTTTTTTTAAACTCCATGCTATATAACATTGAAGTGATCTTTTGTAAATGAACTAAATTTTATTCCGAAATAAATATTAACAATAAGAAATTTTAATTTTAAAGTGTAGCTGGAGTCTTGGAAGACCACTTTAAATTATCCCTGACCCCAGGAAGAAGTACTTTCCTGTGCTATCAATGGACAAATCTACTGGCATCACTGCCTGAGAAGAAGCAGGCCTATGCAGATGTGGAGGGAAAAGAAAGATTTCAACCCCTGTTTCTAGAAAAAAGTTGTAAAGAGACAGAGTATCTCCAAAGATCAACAGGGCGCTTTTTTCACCCCAGAAGATTTCCCATAAATCTTCTACAGAGACGGTAAAATTATTGGTTATAAGTAACTGTTTTTACACATATGTGAAAAAAAAGACAGATACAAAATTGAGAGTAACTGGTAAATGGAAATGTACTTCAGCCATGAAATTTCTCCAGTCCTTTACATATGCATATTAAATACATGTGTACATGAAATTGAAAAAAAATCATAGGTAAAGCATATAATGTACTTTGTAATAAATGCTATTGGTAAAATATTTTTTTTTTATTTTGGTCACAAGCAGATTCCAGTAACAGTTAACAACACCCCTATTGGAAGAGCAGTAGTTTCTCTATCAAAAGGAAAATACAGGAGTGGATTCAGGAGTTTATTCAAGCATATTCATGCGAGAAAAGCTGCATTGTCTCTGTTATGTGACACAGTACGGAATGAGGTGATGACATGCTCAAAGGAACTGTATAAATACCAGCCAATTTCATTAGAGGTAGGCTGTAACTAATGATTTAAAAAAAAGATCAATGTAAACTAACAATTATTCTTGACATCTTTTATTCCCAAATTGATGGTAGAAAATCTGTTTGCAATTTTTTTTTTAATTATTATTTTCCTTACCAAAGGCATAAGTTTCAAATATGATTTTTTTAAAAGTCAATAAAAGATAGCTTGAAGTTCTCTCTCCTAGCCATACTATATCTTTTTTTTTTCACAGTCTACCTGACAGTTTTAAAAATGGCCACTAAAAAGTGACCCATAAAATTTCATGGTTGAAGAAAAATGTACAGACATACGATTTCCCAATTTTACAATGAAAAAAAAAAAAGGAAAATATTTTGATTAAGGCATAAAATAAGGTTCGATTGGATAACCACACACACACATTTTTTGCTCGGCCAAATTGGTATCTTTAATTTGCTAGGAGAGTGCAATTGAAAGAGTACTAATACTGTTAAAGTAAACTGAATATGGTAGTCATTTAATATATTACATTATTTATGATATTTACTCTCAGAATGTGATGGGATTTTCCTGGACACAGTACATAGATCAAATGAAGAAACTTTGCCCATCACTTATGGATATCATCATCTCATCTCTAACTAGAAAGCGGTATCATAGCAGTGTGTCGAAAAAGCGAGGATCCACAACTGTATCCCTTGTCCCACTCGCAGGAACCATACTGAGCTTGATAATGCATAATAGAACAGGCAGAGGTGCTGTGATTCAGAAAATGAATTCACTGGTCATGTGGCTAGGTGGTTGTAAGAGGAAGGTAGGCTGTTTCTAAGTGTAATAAGTACAGATTTTTTTTATTGTCCCCTGCTTGTGTTGTAAGTCGGGGATATTAATTTGGGTCTGACTGTCCGTCCATTTATCTGAGTGTAACATTTTTGTTTCCAAACAAAATCTGAAAAAGTCCTTGAGCTTTTTCACCAAAATTTTGTATTATAACTCCTCATAGCTTAAAAAAAGACTCGTATTGATAAGGTTTCTGCTGTACAAATACAATGCATTGCTTTTTTTCCTTTATTAATCAAGGAAGCTCTAAACACTAACAAAAAGTGCTTTTTGGACTGGGAGAAAAATATATCAGATAAAGATGTGCATACTGAGTCTATTTAATTCATTTTCAACATAGGGTACCTGCCTTATTTCTGCAATAAAAATGTTCAAAGACAATGGACTATTCATGAGCAGAAATCACTGTTGTTTACTGACATTGGGAAAATTAATGGAAATAATGAATTCAGTTACTTATTCTTGGTCTAATATAATGCTTAGAATATTTTAATCTATTACAAATTGTGTTATTAGCTGTAAATAATTAATTTTTCTATCTTTCTTCTAAGGGCAGATCACTCTAATTGCATAAAACTACCCAATAAGTAGAACTCTTTAGTATGCAGTGTTTAGAGCTTCCTTAAAGAAGGATAGTCCCAGTATAAATTTGAACTTGAGAAAATATGAATCTCTTGAACTGAATACATACAATTTTAAGCATGCATGGCCTCAAAGTCTGTAAGATATCATAAGATGTATTTTTAGAAACTTTGTGTATTTTCCAGGTGTTTGATGCATTTAGCAAACTAGGATGGTGCCTTGGGATTTCAGCCACACGGGATTCCATAGATACCTTCATACAGGAGTATGACAAGGTCCTTGACTGGAGGGATAGGATTACTTCTTTACAGATAGGTGTGTAATGGTAAAATTACAATTTAACTGGCATCTTTACAATAATGAAAATCAAGTATTTATGATAATATTTTGATAAAAAACATTTTTTAACAAAAATATTTTATTATGCAGATCAGCAAGTTCCAGCTGTAGGTGTTAATCAACCTGTTTGCACATCTGAGATTGATGTACCACAGGAAATCGAGGATGATTGGGAGGAGGATGATGAGGATAATGATAATGACTTGTCAGAAATAGATTCCCTTTCATCTGACAGTACTGTCACATCTGAAAGTACAGAATCACTGTCTGATATGGCAGAATCACTGAGCAATACAGATAGTGATGAGAGCAAAGGTAAAAAAAAATATTTATGTAAATGTTATCACCTGTTTGCAATAGCATGCTTCTTATATTGTTTCCATGTACAAAAAATTGTTTTTCATCCTGACAAATTTGTTTTCATTTCAAATTCCAGTTTTATAATTCCTACACCAAGTGTCACACAGTCATTCTTCTTTGACATTACTTTTGACAATGTGAACCAGAAGGTAGGAGTAAGACATCATGTACGAGGGAAACAGAACAAAATGTTTAATATGGTACAGGCATTTGCAACCAGGGATAGGATACCAGTATATGGACTCAGTAACAAGACTCCTACAGCTGATGACATCATGAACATTCCTGACACAGCCTATCTTCCTAGCGAGAGTGATCAGAAGGACATGAAGCTAGAACTTTCATACATGGTGGCCAGAATTCTTGCTGCTCACATGGCTTGTTTTGCAGAATTTAATGATTCTAGTCAGTGGAAAATCCTTCATCCTTACATGAAAGAATCAAGTGTTAAAAGTGAAATTGTAAGTTTGAACTTATTGAATTTATACAGGAAGGTGCTTTCACTACATTTGCAGAACAGTGCAATGACAAAATAAAAAAAAATGATCATTTGAATTTACATTATTTTTAGGTTCCACTTGGGATTCTCCAGTTTGACGAGACCAAAACAGCTGAAATGATACAGATACTTGATAATTATGGTCAATATGCCCCACAAGATAAAAACGGAAGACCTCTACCATTTGTCCTGTACTGTGATGGCTTGAGTTGTGAACGTGCGCATTAATGGAGGGAATCAATGGGCCAGACTGGAGATGATTGAACCAGCCATTCAAGAATGGCACAGGAGATTAATGTTCATGCAGGTAAATCTGGTAAATGTTACGATTCATTTATATTTGATCAGTTATTTTAATGGAATTTATTTTTAAGAAATTAGTATCTAATGAAGACAAACATTTATGTCAAAAGCATTGTATTTTGGGTGCAAGATTTCAGTAATTGAGTTACATTTACATTGATAATAATTCCGCATATTTTAGGACACATATGATGAATTGTTCAAGTTTGAGAGTCATCGTGAGAAGGGAACCTTGTACAACATCAAACAGTACTCTGACCATAAGGGAGTGTCGGGCAACATCATGGAGTGTTTTAATAAAGCCACTGAGCTCCTCCACTTTGCCACCAAAGGATTTACAGTTGTTGCAGCAATGGACGTCCTGGGTGTTCACTCAGTTGATGCGACCCCTGAAGCACTTCCATGTACTGCAAGTGAACGACGAAATTTCCTGCTGTCATTGTCAGCTGACATTGTCAACATGGTTTATGAGAAACCGAACACAAAGGAAATACTTGATAGTGAACCAGCACAAGAGGACTTTCAATACTGCTCTTGCAAAATGGACATAGGAGAGATGATGCTATTTTGTTCATACACAAAGTGTAGAAAAGGGCAATGGTTTCACATTGACTGTATTGGTATGTCATCAGAAGATGTCCCTGAAGGTGAGTTATTTCATCCTTTAAGTTCAGTTACACTATGTATTTACTTGCTTATTCAGTAGGGTCATTGTCAACATATACACTCTCTTACACCAACAGATAAAGTATTTCATGATTCATATTTACTCAGTTGATCCATGCCCATTCCACAGGCGACCATCGCAATCAACACCCTGACAGTACCTCCTGGCTTACGAAAGGATTCCATAATCCTTGCTTTAGACTCTAAATCAGTGCTGGCATGGTACAATCTACCAGTCGGTTTTTGAGAGAAACATCCCCACTGTAAGCATTCTCACAAAGAGTAGAATGTAGCCATATATAGATCCCTTCACAAGCTGATATAGAGTTAACATAGATTATTATCTTCTTGCAGTCTTTACCATACTTTTCAACTGCTTCTTGTACCCATTGAAGCTCCTCTTCAAATTTTTCAGTAGACTTGCGAATGTCAATCAAAAAGTTGGGTCTGAAATAAGGTTATTCTTAATTGCGACCATGACCAATGCTACTGCAGGAGTGTTCTCAGTTTCATTTGTTTAAAAACATATACAATGTATGTTTGTATGTATGTTTCATGTCTTAGTACAATGTACGTGTGATGAAAGTTATACCTGTCAGGCAAAGTAGCAATTACAACAGTATTATTGGAAAGCCCCAGTACACTGTCAATGTCTTTCTTTATTTCTTTTGTGACTGTGGCAGATAGAGCAAGAACTGGAGCCTCAATAATGCTCTGAAGTAATCCAATCTTGCAATACTCCTCTCTGAAGTCCAGTCTCCTGAATTTTAAATTTACTATGTATCTAAATATCTTTGAAATTTATTGAAGTTTTTAAAAGTACAATAATAAATTTAATAAATGCTACTATGATTCTCATTGCAATACACAGACGAAATTGATTTTTTTAGGTCTCCTTACTGATCGAAATTTGACAGTCCGTATAATACTAATAGGTGAGAGGAATTCAAGTTTGTTCAAATGAAGGGCTACTTCCTATCTTTTAAAAATCTTCTTCTCAAGAAGCACTGGACCAATAAAGTTGAAACTTATGTGATAACTTCTTTACAAAGTGTAAATTCATGTTTGTTCAAGTCATGACCCCTGGGGGTAAGGTTTGACCATAATGGGGGATTAAAGTTTTAGATAGGAATACATAGGAAAAATCTTTGAAAATTTTCTTTTCAAGAACAGCAAAGCCATGTTTAGTCATATTTATAAGGAAGCATTCTCAGGTAGAGTAGATTTAAGTTTGTTCAAGTCATGACTCCCGGGGGTAGGGTGGGGCCAAAACTGAAAAGGGGGGATCAAATTTTTTCCTAGCCAAAGTGCTCAGATGAGTGATGTGGTCCATGGGCCTCTTGTTTATACCAGTTCAGGGAGGTGTTATACTGTTGATTTTGTATCCCAATTAATATCTGATCAGATAGAATATCACATATGGATGAATGTAATTTACATTTTATTTGATGTAGTATATCATAAGATAATGTGGTACATCATAAATAATGAAGTACACCCCCCCCCCCTTTAGTTGTGGATGGCGGGTTTTTAGATGAGGTATTTACCATTCTGATATGCAGTGGGCTTCATCATAGGCAACCATGCAGATATTTTGTCTTGCTTCCAAAATAACGGATCGCCACTGCTTCAACAAAACAGCCTCTGGGGTGGCCAGAACAACTACACTTTTACCTTCTTTAATATCTATATATAATAAAACTGTGCCTTATCATTTTAATATTTGGGATTTATTAACTCACTTGCCATAATAATTTATTGTATAAAGAGTTTATATTATTAATATGATTATGATGAGAATGAAATAATTTGCAATTGAAAGTTAAGTTTTGATTATTTATCATGTTTATTGCAGAAAAAGTTTACAATAATATGATTATTACCACAAATGTAATGTTAAAAAAAATTATACCTTCACTTTTTTGCATTTTTTTTTTATTTTTTATTTTTTCTAAATACATGTACCTTTCATGTGCATTGGTGTTGAATTTCCATATATGGGAGTTGCTTTAATATCATGTTCATTTAAGTTTTGTAATTGATCCTCAATTAAAGAAGTCAAAGGGCTTATGACCAAGGAAAAGTGATGAATTTCTGGTTGAGTCTATAATATTTATATACATGTAGTTACATACATTTAGGTAAAACTAATATGATTAGGGCAGCCATTTGATTCTGAAGGGGATGAGAGGGGTGCAGATTATAAAGAAAAAATCTTGGTTACCTTGGAGATATTCTGGCACATCAAAATAATAAAATTGTTGAAAAAGCCAGGAAAAACTAAGATATTTCAGACTATTCTGTCCTTATGTGGGCAAAATTAATTAGCACCCCCCCTTTTCTTCAGAATCAAATTTTAGCACCATCTTATGGTTAATTCTTGTAAAATTTAGATAGGCTGATGAATTACTTAAGTGATTTCATGAAAAAAAGACTTATATTGGTTGGTCAGTCTCTCCAATGTTTAATGAATTTATATCTAGCCTAACGTTAAGTTACCTCATTTAATATGAGAGGTGGTAAGATGTAGGTCAAACTTTTCCCAAAACCTGTGGGAAATATAGCAAACGTGTCTTTCAACACCAAAATACTTGTTATAACTTTCAACTGATCTTCCCGAATACCAAAATTGTATCCTTTATGCCGCAAAATTTTACCTGCTGAAGCAGCCATGACGCGTTATCTATTTTTAGATGTGCTCTAGGAAACACCCTGTAGTCTCGCGAGATTTCAAAATGCACAAAATCAAAACAAATCTCAACAGTTCGATAAAATATGTTCTACAAACTGTTTATTTGATGACAAGGTTTATAAAAGTGATATAAGTGAGTACTAGAATCATCGTTTGATTATTTAGTTACGAGTTAACACAACATCTTTGACTGTCGAGTATTTAAAATCGAGCCGAGAACGCCGCCTCCAGTTGGAGGCGGCGAATTTCCAGTTTTCGTAATGGCGCCGGTTCTGACGTTTTCCAGGCACGTCAAATATCAAAATCGTAAAAAAGCCTGGAAAACGTCAGATATTTCGGACTAATCTTGCTGCAGCTCTTTGGTTGAGAAAATTCGGACAGATAAACCAGAGAGCTACAGATCCAAGCATTGTAAAAAAAAAAAAAAAAAAAAAAAAAAACTTTCGATTTACACCACCGCTTATTTGTCGCTCGCTTCGGATATTATTCCTTGTATTTTATGCGTTCCACTGGTATCCGATAATAAATTCTATATTTTACTCCCAGTCCTGACACTTTATTTACCTTTCAACGGTCCCAAACGGCCGTATGTGGTCTTGAAAAATCAGTTTCAAAAAATTGCTTTCCGAGCTCCTCACTCCCATGTTGGTTTAAATAAATGCTAAAATAACATGCCCGATTTTATAAATCTCATTTTTCTAACATACATATTGCTTTCATTATAGACAAATGAATGTACACGATATTTGAACCTCCAGATTTTTTATTCACATTTTTTCGGCAAATGGATGTTCTTTTGAAAACTCGGGATGGGAAATTTTTAAAATGATATTTAGACTACATAGGGCCATTTGGAACTGTTGAAAGGTAAATCAATTAAGAATTGGAGTAAAATAAATGATAAATTATAGGATACAAACTGTGAGGTGGGGGAACACATAAAATACAAGAAATAATACCCGAAGCGAGCGACAAAAAAGCGGCGGCGTAAATCAAAGGGCTTAACAATGCTTGGATCTGTAGCCTTCTGGTTTATCTGTCCGAATTTTCTCAACCAGAGAGCTATAGTTCTGCAGCTACAGCTGGTCTGAAAAAATTGGGATGGACGACCCGAGAGTGACAGTTTTGTTTTCAACATATTTTTTTAAATCAAAAGGATTGGAAACAAGTTCTAAAATAACTTTTGTACTAGTTCCTCTCCAAATATAATACAATATGTCATGCAAATTAAAGATACATAATACAAATGATACAAATAAAATTTAACATATCAACTAAGAAAGTCTACATGTTTCGTCAATAAATTTATGAACAGCAGCAAAAATACTGTTACATTTGTATTTATCTGTAAAGGCAAATTTTCATCACCACATAGTACGTAATAGGTTTAAATCAAAAATGACCGCCCATTGAAAACGTCTTTATTAATTGAGCATAGAGAAGTGCGCTTTTTTTCGTTTATTTCTCCGTATATTTAAAAATATTACTAACCGTGTGTTCCTAGCATATTCTTTTACTACTTCCATAACAACACTGCATGTACAAGTCATGCACAAAGCGCGTTGGATCGAATTATCTTGCCACCCAAAATGCCCAGACTGTTTTGTTTGTTTGTTGTTTAACGTCCCTCTCGAAAATTTTTCACTCATATGGAGACGCCACCACTTGCCGGTGGAGAGCTGCAAATTTTGACCTATACTCGGCACTTACGGCCATTGAGCAGTGAGGGATCTTTTTCGTGCCAGCACCTACTGCGACACGGGACCTCGGTTTATACGGTCTTATCCGAAGGACCGGGCTGATATAAATAGGCGAAATTTTCGATTGTCTCAATTTCCTGCCCTAGGGGACTATTAACAACGGTTTGGGGGAATGTTTTGTTGTGGAAGTAGTAAAAGAATATGCTAGGTACACACAGTTAGTAATATTTTGAAAAGACAGCTTTAATATGCGGAGAAATATTGAGCCAATAAATATACTCTTTTTTTTTAATGGGTGGCACCGGTCGACCATCCCAAATTTTTCAGACCAGCGAAATACAGATCTACAGATAGTATAGGATACGTGAAATAATGTAATATACTTAGCATTTACTACCTTGATTTTGCAAAGGAATATATTTTTCCATGAAAAAATTGAATTAGGAAATCAGAACATTTGAATGATGATGTCATTTTTATGACAACCGGTATAAAGTTTTTGTTTTAATTTTGGGCTTTTGTGCGTATGATTTGATTTAAAGGTGAACATTTAACTGAAAAAATGAATGGATTTATATTTAATTGAAGTTTTCTTGCTTTTATTTTTTCAGCCCTTGTAGTAGGTTGTCTTTAGGGTCTTATCTTGGATGCTATAAAACATAAAGTAAATAAGCTTTAAGCTCTCGGAATAGACATGTGGCATCGTTTTTAAAGGGGAGGGGGCTAATTGACAAGCAAAAAAGGAGGAATGAATGCGTTTAACCATGAAAAAAATACCAACTGGCCAATCGACAAAAGTCAAAAACCCTATTACT